GACAGGGACTTTTAATTCTTGCAGAATAAATTGATCTTAAAGAAATTCACAGAAACTAACCTCTTGCTTAAAAACCGTAGACTCTAAGCAGCTAAACTGAACTATTTCTGCCAGAAACATTCATATATTTTCCTAGTGCTGCTGTTTTACATATCCTCCTCCCCACATAGATAGCCACTGTAGCAGCTCACAGACTTCACTGCAACCAGTGTCTACACAAGGGAAGATGACCATGGGGCTCCTCAGAAAAGACCGAGTGCCCAAGCCAGTGCCCAGTGGGCCAGTCAGAGCCCCAGTGTAACTCTGTCATTTGTATGTGCAAGCTCCTTGCTCAGACTGAAAAGTGCCAACTCCCACCCCATCTTTACAAATCTCATGCACAAAAGCTCAAGAAGGTACTGGCATCCACAACACACCATGAAGGGCAACACTACAGACCTCTTGCATCCCTGAGCGCAAAGGTGCCTTTACCTTGATGCCAGTTGGCACACTGCCAGTGAAAGAGATTTTGGCCACATCTGGGTGATGACAGAGGAACTGGCCTGTGGCTGCTCCACCCTGCACCACGTTGAAGAGCCCCTTGGGCACACCAGCCTCTGTGAAGATCTCTGCCAGCTTCACCACTGAAACGGGGGTGAAGGGAGAAGGCTTGAAGACCATTGCATTGCCTAGGGGAACGCAGACAGAGGTAAGGTGGGGTTTACACCTGAACCTCTTTAACAGGAGGAAAACCACAAACAAACAAACAAACCAACCCACCCCAAACAATGAGTTTGTCTCAACATATCCCAGAAGATCCCTCCCAAGAGAAGGGGAAACATTTTCAGATGAATGCTGCAACCAGCAAAAGGGAGTAGCTGCACTCTCCCGCTGGGAAGGTCCGGGGAAGACGGGGCTGCTGGTCCTGCACTGCAGACATTTCCAGAGACCTTCCTTATACGGTACGAAGCCACACAATCAGCCTTTCTCCTCATGCACTCCGTCCCTCTTGGCATCTGCCATGTTTTCACTTCCATTTCCTTTCTCTTCCTGCCAGAGTAGCAGCTTGAAGGTTCTGCTAATCCTTTAACACCTCCTTCAAGGTAATCCTAGACTTTATCCCCCAAATCTCTCTTCCCCACGGTATTATTTGGCTTCAAGAAGAAGCTTGTGTAGGCAGAGTCTCCATTACCACAAGCCAAGGCCGGGGCAGACTTCCAGCAGGCAATCTGGAAAGGGTAATTCCAGGCTCCAATCCCAACACACACCCCGAGGGGCTCTCTCCGAGTGTACCCAAAGGATCCCCCTGGAAGTTGGATGTGTTCACCTGCAAAGAAAAGAAACAGCTAGATGGTAAAGGAAAACAAAGCCCCTACCTGTCCCACCAGAGCTTCAGGGGCCAGAACTCGCTTTAATTTGGAACACAGACATGTGGCTTTTACCCCAACAAGCTCACAGAAGGTCTGTAAATGGCCACAGAACAGAGCAGCATTAGGTAGAGATCTCTCAAAATCCTTCCAAGATCTTTAGAAAAAAGGAATAGTCCATCCCTTAAAGAAAGCAGCAGCAAAGATGGTATTGTGCCACTGAAGTTACTAGGGAATGCGAGTGGCAGGACAGAGAGTAAAGAACAAACTCTGGTAACATTCTCACCAGCTAGAGATCCTGCTAGTCCTGCGTAATACTCCAGGCATTGCCAGGATATGTCAATGTCCACTCTGGCTTCAAAGATGGATTTCCCATTGTTGATGGTTTCCATGGTGGCAATTTCTTCTTTCTGCTCCTGTGAGAGGCAGAGGGCAGTGACACGTTAAGAGAAGCATGCAGTAGAACTCTACAATCGAGATAGCTGCTGCCCAAGCACACAAGTCCCAGACAAGACTCTGCCATCAGTAAGCCAGGCTCTGCTGTGAGAAACTGTCATCTCTAGAAGGTACATTTCCAACTGCTATTTATCAGTTTCCCAGGGGCAATTGATTGTAGTGGCCAGCCAGCCATTGAAGTTCCCTGCCTGTCCAGTCTTGCTTAACATCCCTGTTTATCTAAAAGATGAGCAAACCTGAACTTAGAAGCCAGCTGGCAAACAACGGACTGGGAAGATGAGCAAACAGCAAAGTTATGATGGAACCAGAGGACTTAGTGAAGGACTAACAAAGCAACACAGATGGGAAGTGTCCTTTAACAGACCATATCCCAGGCAGAAACAGCATCCTGCTGTGGAAGTCTGGCCGAAAAAAAAATAAAAAATAATTCTCTCCTCACATACGCACACCAGAGAAAGAAGGTCTTGTTTCTTACAGATCTGTGCTTTGATTTCAACGTCTAAGAACATATTATCTCACAAAGGAGTTTGTGATAAAGCTTACTTGTATCCTCTCCCATGCGTGTTATCTGCTATCTAAGATAAAAGTCAGCATTCCTACATTTTTTATTGCTAAAACAAAGCACGCTCCTATCACATGACAGCAGTGTCCAACAAGCTGAAAGATCAACAATGTAACTGTTATGCAACTTCAATTTTGAAATCACTTGCAGTGAAGCTTTATTCTTGAAGCTATGAAAAGAAAAATGAGCCCTGAAAGATGTCAAATGGATGGCTCCAGTTTTGTGTCTTTTAACAGAACTAAGCAGAGAAGGTACACACTGGTCTTGAACACAGCAACAGACTGAAGCCCTGCTAAAGACAACGTACTGTCTTCTGGTCACAGATGGGTTTTAACTTCTGTGCTCCTTCTGGAGCTCAGGAAGTCCTGCTGGAAGCCCCCAGCAGCCACATTAATCCACAAGAATGCTCAGAGACAGAACCTCTCCAAAAGAAGAGGCGAGCTCCCACAACATACCCGAATAATTCTGGCAGCCTCCAGCAGCACCCTGTTTCTCTCCATGCCAGACATCTGACTCCATATTTTAAAGGCAGCCTTTGCACTCTGCACAGCCAGATCAACCTCCTTCTCCCCAGAGCAGAGCACCTTGCATATCACACGACCTGGGAACATTTTAACAGGAAATAAATAAGACAGAAGTCTCAGAAAAATGGTACAGAAGAACATAGTTTATCTTGCATCAAAACACAAAGACATCCAGCCATCTCTACCAGGCTACACAACTTCATGCTGTGATTCCCACTGATTTGTAACTGGCTATGGAAGAGGTGCTGCAATTCAGCTGCTCTGAATTAAAGATCTGTAATTCTCCACAGTTGTGTTCTGGTTACTAATTAATTCAAATCACTACAAAATTCCTCTGTTCCTCACTGGAGCTTGTTATACTTCTACCACCAGCCTCAGAGGTCTGTAACATATTGTTCTGCATAGTCAAACGCTATCTTTCTTGAAGTGATTCTGCTGAAACCTACATACCCCCAGTTAAAGAAAAATAAATTAATTTTAGAAATGTTTAAATCGTGTTATTTGCCAAGATCAGACACCACTAGATTTTCTGTTTGACTGCAAGGCAGAGCTGATTTCCGCTAAAAAGTCTGACAATGGACCTGCACTGCAGAAGGCAAAACGCAGCCACCAGACCACCACGGCCTTGAGGACGCCTTCGCAGGCAGCATCC